ACCAGTCTAAACGAGTGTACTCCTACTGCAGCAAGCTGGTTGTGTTTGGGACTGTAACTTCAGAAATGATGCAGTATTTTTAATTTTCATATGAATAGGAGTCCTCAGTCTAACTTGACATGCTCTCTTCCCAGCTATAATTTACATTAAAACAGTTTCACACCTATTTCTGCAACTCTGCTAGGCATATAATAGTATCTGACTAGTACTACAATATTTCTGAAGAGAATGAATCCCTTTCAGCATTAACATTTGCTACACCAACTTATGAAAAACATGGGTATTCTATCCTGAAATCCAATTTAAAACCTTTGATAAAGTTAACAATTGTATGCCTACATGAAAAGGGACAACCCGGTATTTTACACACTGCATACTATGCTTTTCTAGTGCAATGATCTAAACGGCTGCAACCCAAACATTAAGACAAAGCTCAACTATCAAATCTTAAAGACAGTCTGACTTAAGTCAGTGAAACATAAATAAGTTGGCTTATGGCAATATGGAGAGAAAATCGTTGTGATGTGGAAACAGATGTCCCTGTACATTTTTCACAATGTGGCAGCAGCCAGTGCCTCGTACGCATGGCTTCGCTTGCTAAATTAAAAAATTAATTCAGTGCTAACCTGAACACATTGTATTAACTTTTATTCTAGCTACATTTTCAGAGTAAAGTAGAAATAGCTTTGTTTTAATTAAAATTTTCCATTCATATAAAAACCTTCATTAGCAAAGCATTTTTTCCTAACCAAGGCAGACGAGGCATTGTAACCAAAGGCTCTGTTTCATTATGTTAAAAAGTTATGATTACAGAAAATGTCACAGCGCCAAGATGCACTTGTGGCCAACATAATCGACAGATGCCCACGCGTGCGCGCGCACACACACACACACACACACACGTGAAAAAATATGGCTAAAAACATCTAGCATGTCAAGTACAACACAAGTGATTCTAGCTGCACAGTACTTAAATATAATTATGCCACACTTGTGTAAACTCAAGTCAAATGACAGGCCAGAGAGAAGGTAACTGCTTTCTGATTCAGGAATACAGCCTTTGCAAGAATAATCTCAGATCATTTTGAATCAACTGTTCAAAAGGACAACTATAACAGCACTTCCCAGGGCAAAAAAATTCTGATATCCTCGCTACGGGAGCAACCTCTGACTTCAATGTGACTTCCTATATGAATAAAGTTTGACCAGGAGTTTAATTATACTAGGAACCCAGTGAGGACAGTAGGACAAAAGTGAAAATGCTGCCATCCATTCAGCTCTGACAGTTAAATTCCAACACTCAACAAACTTCAATACATGCCAAATATATCTCATTTCAATTATTTTGGCCTCAACTGGAGGTAGAGGAGAAACAATGAAGGAATAACTAAGAGGGTGCAGGATAACAGCTTCATTTTTTTCTCTCCCAACTATCTGGTCTCAAAGTCAACTGTGGTCACTGATGAGTACAAAAATGATCACCTCTGCTTAGTGTCACATGCAGAAGAAGGACAAATCACTGTTTTCTTTTATCTAAAAATCCCAATGATGGGAATCGAAGACACACTGGTTATCCACAAAATAAGGATTCAATTGTAATGTCTCTCACAACAGGTCTTTTTAAGAGCTGCACAACACTCACCACTCACCTTCCTGCTGGAATAGAAGATGAGTTGTAGCAGCAGCAACCAGTGGCCTGGTGGGTTTCTGGTGGCAGAAGGCTGCCTTTTTGTTCCACCTGCAGCAAGGGTGGATGAGGTGAGGCTACTCTGATGAGGCTGCCCCAGCATGCAGCTTTACTCCAGCTAGAGCTGGGGCTGCCAACAGTTCTATTTTTAGTATGGCAGTTCCAAAGGGACCGGGACTGTGGTACTAAAAATAGCACCGTGGGTGGTCTCTGCTCCAATGCTGGCATGCAGTCCCACCCCAAGAGCATCTGGGGTCGGGGCTGCGGGGGCTTTTGGAGCAAGGACAGCAGTACTAAAAATGGCACCACGGACCCATGTCCAGCCCCCTCAAACTGCTTTCCACGTCAAAGTAGAAGATGGGGTGAGGAGAGGAAGGAGCTTGTGGTGAGGAGACAGGAGAGGGCCAAGGCAGCAAAAGAAAGGGGAAGGCATCAAGGAGCAGGGTGGATAAAAGAAATGTCAGGGGGCCAAATGGAGATAATGAGGAAGAGAGCAGGGGAAATGGAAAGGAAAGTGTCAGTGCGGGTGGGAGAGAGGAGAGGACAGTGATGCTGGGAGAGAAGAGGGGAGGGGCAATGGGGGCAAGAAGAAGGAAGAGGAGACGGAAGGAGTGGATGCCAGGAGAAGAGAGGTTGAAAGGCGGGGTGGGCATGTGGAAGGCAGGGGATGGAGCAAGTCATGTGTGAGGGTGCAGAGGGTGGTGAGGGGGTAGGCACCGGGGAGGAAGAGAGCAAGGGGGCAGGTGTTGGGAGGGAAGGGGCACTGAGAGAAAGGGTTGGCACCACAAGGGTGCAGGTGCCAGGGGGACTGTGAGGTTGAAGCAGAAGGGCAGACATGAGGAGGGGAGGGATGGGCACCAGGAGAGAGAGAGGCCGGGCAGGTGAGTAGAGGGAGGTGTTAGGGGAGGGGTAGCTATAGATGATCAATGGAGCTAGAGGAGGAGTGGGCACAGGGGGAAGAGAAGGGCTGGTGCATACATCAAGAAGGATGGAGAGGGGGCAGGTTCCTAAAGGGCTGAGCAAAGTGAAAAATGCAGGGGCCAGGACCGCAGAGGAGCGTGAGGGGTGGGGGAGCAGCAGCAGGCACCAGGGGAGCAGATGGGGTGAGGGGAAGATGGGAAACACGGCAGCAGAAGGAAAAGGGGGAGACTTATAAGATATTAATAACTTGGGTGCCACAGCTGCAGACATCCAAACAAACTCAATTTGCTGCACAAGACAAAATTCATTCCACTCATGAGTAGAAAAATCTTAGAGGGAACACTGCTCACGACTTGCTTAATGTTGTAATGCTGAGTGCCAGTTCCAATAATAGCTTACAAATGCTACATGTATTCATAACATATCTTTTAAAATAGTATGGTATA